GGGGGGGGGAGGGAAGCAGACGAATCAGAAGAACGCCGAGCAGAAGCGGGAGTCGAGCAATAGAGTGCGCAAAATATCCAAAAGGGAAAAGCACAAGCTGCGAGTGGGATCGTGGAACGTTTGCGGCTTCGCAAGGAGTGAGCGCGAACGGCTGGAATAAGTGGGCCAAGTAGAACAAGATCTCTAGATGTAGAGGGGATCCAGGAGACGTGGGAACTGAAGGATGGAGACATCGTAAGCAAACTAGGTAAACACCGGTGGGTAGGGAAGGCAAGAAAGGGCTTAGACCCGATGAAAAGGGGGTAGGGGGGGAGTTGGACTCCTAACCAAGGAACACTTGTTTGACGTGGTGGAAGTAGTGGTGAAAACGGAGTGCGAGGAAAGCCTATGGCTTACGATACCTGGGGAGCGGGGTGAGCAAGATTTGTTTCGAGGGAAAGTTTATGCNACCGGTGGGTAGGGAAGGCAAGAAAGGGCTTAGACCCGATGAAAAGGGGGTAGGGGGGGAGTTGGACTCCTAACCAAGGAACACTTGTTTGACGTGGTGGAAGTAGTGGTGAAAACGGAGTGCGAGGAAAGCCTATGGCTTACGATACCTGGGGAGCGGGGTGAGCAAGATTTGTTTCGAGGGAAAGTTTATGCATACGTCCCACCGTCGTCGAAGAAAGTCGAAAGCAAGGCGCAGGAGAACTTTGGACAAATTGGGCAACATGTCCAGAGGTTCAGTAGGAATGGAGAAGTTGTCATGGTAGGCGACTTCAACTCCAGATTAAGGCTTCCAGCAGGGGACAGACGATCGGGCAGCGCGGAGAAGACAAAGTGAATGACAACAGAGTGAGGATGCTTGAATTCTTGGGGGGCAACCAGCTGATCGTGTTGAACGGTAGAAGGGAATGCGATAAGCCGGAGTTCACCAGAGAGGGCAGTTTGAAAGAAGTATTCGGTTCTCGACGACATCCTGGTAGATAGGGGGAGCACACAGATCCCAGAGTTGCACGTAAGTGCGATAGATGTAGGTTCGACAGACCACTTCCTCATATGGGCAAACATCGACCGAGCTAGGAAGGCGGAGAGAGAGAAACAGAGGAGTGTTCCGGTGCAAAGTAGAGCGTTTGGGAGACGAGGGAACGCGGGGTGTGTTCCAAAAGGGAATGGCTGATAGCATAGAACACTCCAGGAAATTGCTGAGCAGCGTTGAAGACGGACAGGTAGACGGACAAGCAGCAGGGGACAGGGTGATTGAAGGGCGGGAGTCCATAGTGAACACAACGGCAGAGAGAGTAGTGGGAAAGAAGGTGGTGCGATGTGGGGTATCGGTCAAGCGGTGGGATGACGAGCTGAAATACGAAATAGGGGAACGTAGCGAAGTCTTCAAGCAGTACCTGAGTGAGGGGTTTGAGCGGAGTTGTCGAAGTACAGGGCCACGAGAAAACAGGTCAAGGGGCTGGTGACAAAGCACGAAAAGTGCATCTGGGACGAAGTAGTGCACAAGGCCAACGGAGGCCTGGAGGTGAACGTCAAGCAGCTGTGGCAAGTGACTAGTGGCATGGTAAAACAGACCGTGCTGGGGGGAGGATACAGGGGTAGCAACTTGCGAGGTGTGAACGGTGGACTAGTCAGCAGTGGGGAGTGGAAAAGGGAAGTTCTAGCAGGACACTACAAGAGACTTGGAGTGCCGTGGGAGAATGAAGCTTTGACCAAGTGATTAAGAAGGAGGTGGACGAATGGGCCAAGGAAGAAGAAACATCGAAGGCAGACATTGGGAACGTAGAGCTAGAGAAGGAGTTAACTGAGGACAAGGTGGAGGCTTGTGTGAACAAGCTGCAGTGCCACAAAGCAGCAGGGGCGGATGGGATAGTCGACGAGTTCACGATGTTTGGTGGACAGGGAATGATCCAGGTGACGGTACTGCTGTACAACTGCTTGTGGAAAAACGAGGAAGCGCCAAGTAGATGGAGGGAAGGGGTGGTTGTGTACTTGCTTAAGAAAGGAGACAAGACTGACCCAGGAAACTACGGGGGGGATCACACTGTTGACCACAGTAGGAAGGGTGTCCTGAAAGCTGCTGAACGATAGGATAGTGGGAATATTGGAGAAGGACACGTTAGAGAGAATCATCCAAGGTAGAACGAGGGAGGGGAATCCGACGTGCTGCTTCTTCCTGGACGTAAGGCATACGATACAGTATGGAGAAATGGGCTCTGGAAACAATTATCCAAGCACGGGATTAAGGGGAAAATGTGGAGAGTGCTGAAGAAGATGACAAGAGTGTACGAAAAGCGCGGTCATGCTAGACGGAGAACTGTCTAAAATCTTCAACATTGAACAGAGGGTCCCACAAGGTTGCACTTTGTCCTCAACATTGTTCCAGGTTTTCATCAACGATCTGTTGCACGTCGTAGAAGCAGTCGGGAAGAAAGCAGACAGGGGAAATTCGGTGTCGGGAATGCTGTTTTCGATGCCTTTGTTGGGATGTCTGACACCCCTGAGGGCCTGTATATGTAAATTACCTGCCAACGTAAAGAAGGGTGCCGTCATGCTACGCAACGAGGACAGGGAGGAATCAGTGCAACATAGGTGGAAGTGGGGGGGTCGAGGAGCTTGCAGTAGTGGACCAGTACACATACCTTGGAGTAGAGATCGCAAAAGACTGCTCGTGGAATGCACACATGTCCAAGGTAGCGGAAAAGGGCAAAGCACGAGCACGGAAGCTGCCCCCGATACTCCCAAACCGGTCCCTTAAAAACGCATCAAAATGACGCCTTTGAAGAGCGTACTCGTACCGAGTACGCCGGAGAAGTATGGGAAGGAAATAAGGAGGTAGTCAAGGAGCTCGAGACGGCGCAGATGAAAGCAGCGAAAGTCATCCTAGGATGCTCCAAGTGCACAAGTGATGTAGCCGTCAGGGCAGAACTGGGGATCCGATCCCTACGATCGGGAAGAGACGCAAGGAGGCTGACATGGCAGCACCGCATGTGCGGTAGGGAGAGGAGAGGTTGCCGAGAATAGCTTGGGAGGCGAAGTGGGGAAACAAGAAGAGGTAGACAACCCACGGAATGGGTCAAGCTTGTAGATGACATACGGAAGGGGTTCGAAATTGACGAAGGCGATACGCTGGATATGGAGGGCTAAATGGGTTCTAGGAGAAGATATCTGTTGCTTTTGCCTAGAGAGAAGAAAAAAAAACAATAATAAGGAGGGCCTAGAAATGTACAGAATATTGAAGGAAGGAATAGGGTTCAAGGAGTAACCACATGGACCAGTGGATGCAGGGACAAAGCTGAAGGTCAAAGTCAGGACCGGGGACATTCGCCTCCGAGAACGTAGACGAAGATATAGGAAGGTAGACGAAGAAGACGCCAAGTTCAAATGTTATTGCGGCTCCTAGCGCGCAGACCGTGTTCATGTCTTATCGGAATGTCGGCTGTACAAGGAGAGGGAAGTGCACATGACCAAGCTGGGAGAAGTAGAAGGAACATGCAGGGAGATGTTTGAGGCATGGAATAGCCAGGATACGACGTTAGATGTACTGGGGCATACATAGGGTGGGCCGAAAAAACGGGGAGTGATATCGGTAGGATAGATAGACTAGGGTTAGGCCAAACCCCTTCGGTACCGGCACGGGAAGATACCCGCGGCAAGCCCGCTAAGCAGCGCACTGACGGCACGCCACTAATAAATGCGCAACACACAACGGACAACAAGACCAACGTGCGCGCGTACAGAACAAAAAGACGCGCATAAGCAACACAGACACAAAAAAACATATGATTCCATTGTTAATCTGTCTATGACTCTTTTCTATGATAGAGATG